GGTCCATGGAAGGATGGATATACAATATATATTTTAAAATATAAAGGAGAGCTGGCAAATTGATGACACAATTATCATTGAATGTGTATCTGCACATTGACATAGGGAACAATGAGAGGAAAAGCACAGAGCACTGGACTTGTTGGCTGCAGTGGTTCAGGACAAATTTAGACTAAATTTCAGAGATGAAATAGAGAAGATCTTGTAAGTTGAGGTTATTTGGTCAGGTGAGGTCAGGATAGGAGAGTAGGCAGAGTCATTGCAGTCAGCACACCTTTCTCAGATCTGCTTTCAAAGCTCCATGAAGAACAGAGCATAACATACATCATGGGTAATCTCAGAGCTGTGATCTCAACTCACTGGGAATCCTTCTCCACCAGGAACATGATAGATGAATAGAGAAGGGGAAACAATACAAAACAGTGGCTGCATTGTGCATGTGAGTGATATAGCAGACCCCGAAATATATACACACAGAGGGAAAGAGATTGGAGGTCTGAATGACAACCAGAGACAGGTGGTCATCTGTCTGAGAGAAGAGCCCAGTCAGACCCATTTGCTCTTAGATTACACTGGTGTTTGGCAGAAATGCTTGCTTACAGTATTCAGCAGTCCACAATAGGCAGACCATACTCTATCAGAACTAAATCAGAATAACTCAACCTGTATCTTTTTTTTTAATTTTTATTTTTTTTATTATTCATATGTGCATACAATGCTTAGGTCATTTCTCCCCCCTGCCACTACCCTCTCCCTTACCACCCACACTGCCCCCTCCTTCTCCCCCCCACCACTTCGCTACCCAGCAGAGACTATTTTGCCCTTATCTCTAATTTTGTTGAAGAGTGAGTATAAGCAATAATAGGAAGGAACAAGGGTTTTGCTATTTGAGATAAGGATAGCTATACAGGGAGTTGACTCACATTAATTTCCTGTGCATGTGTGTTACCTTCTAGGTTAATTCTTTTTTATTTAACCTTTTCTCTACTTCCTGGTCCCCTTCTCCTATTGGCCTCAGTTGCATTTAAGGTATCTGCTTTAATTTCTATGCGTTGAGGGCAACAAATGCTAGCTAATTTTTTAAGTGTCTTACCTATCCTCACACCTCCCTTGTGTGCTCTCGCTTTTATCATGTGCTCAAAGTCCAATCCCCTTATTGTGTTTGCCCTTGATCTAATGTCCGAATATGAAGGAGAACATACGATTTTTGGTCTTCTGGACCAAGCTAACCTCACTCAGAATGATGTTCTCCTATTCCACCATTTACCAGCGAATGATAACATTTCATTCTTCTTCATGGTTGCATAAAATTCCATTGTGTATAGATACCACATTTTCTTGATCCATTCTTCAGTAGTGGGGCATCTTGGTTGTTTCCATATCTTGGCTATTTTGAATAGTGCTGCAGTAAACATGGGTGTGCAGGTGCCTCTGGAGCAAACTGTGTCACAGTCTTTGGGGTATATCCCCAAGAGTGGTATTGCTGGATCAAATGGTAGAGCAATGCTTAGCTTTTTAAGCAGCCTCCAAATTTTTTTCCAGAGTGGTTGTACTAGTTTATATTCCCACCAATAGTGTAAGAGGGTACCTTTTTCCCTGCATCCTCGCCAACACCTGTTGGTGGTGGTGTTTCTAATGATGGCTATTCTAACAGGGATGGGGTGGAATCTTAGTGTGGTTTTAATTTACATTTCCTTTATTGCTAGAGATGGTGAGCATTCTTTCATGTGAACTCTTGGGAGTTCAACTCTTAGGACTTCTGTAAATGTGTTCAAACAAGGGACCTTACACTGTGCAGATTTGGGAAAGCATCTCTCAGCCTTTTCCTCTCTATCACGTTGGCTTATACCTTACCAATGGTGGAAAAAAACAATGCTCTGTAGAGATACTTTGGTTTCAGGCATGGATTTTGATATGGATCACTTTGGCAAGTTCGCTCTGCATCTCCTTCCAAGGACCATTCCTTTCATGATTTCATAGGAATAGAATCTTTGATATTCTAATCTGCAGGTGCAGAATTCAGGGATTGTTTGTGGCACCCCTATCTAAAGCTTTGGAGAAAGAACCTTAGGCTTGGTTTCTTCAGGGCCCATGGATCTGTGAGAAACTCCACACCCCACAGGCTGCAGTATTTTGAGAATTGGTGGTAGAGAACTGAGGGACTTAGTGCTCTGCCTGCTGCTTTAAGTGGGTTCATATAATTCCAGAAGTTCCCTCACAGTTGAGTGGGGGGCAGCATGGATATCGCATTGTTCACAGGACATAGGATTGGAGTTCTATGCACAGCCTGGCTGAAAATACTCTAGGTTGTAGGCAGCTCTGGAAGCCCAGCCTTGGACTCCAATCAGTGCTTCCCAAATCCTCCTGAGGAAACAGACTGGGGAAATCTTGTAGTTCTCAGGGCCTTTGCTCTGAATTCTCAGTGGACCTGACAGCAAACACCAACAGTTGTCACACAGATCCTGGAGGTCAAGCTTCTGTCAACCTCAGGCCTGGTGCTCTGTTCCCCAGTGATCCTCAGGTGAGGGTACTTGCTACCAGCCAAGAGATGTGTGGACACCAACTATGAAGCCCTTCATAGCAGGAGCTCCTTACTATTTAAACATCTCAGTGGCCTATGTCAGAACCTCTTACTCTCCACTAGCCCTTCTCCTGGCCGTCTCCCACTCAGACCCTGAAGCAAGGTTTCCCAAGATGCTCTGACCAGATTTATTCTTAGTTTTTAAGTCACCAGTTCAGTTCAGTCTCAAAGAGTAGGCTGTCTCACAATATGGTGCCTTGCTATAGATTTTCATGATATGGGGAGTAAATAATTTGTGATGCTATCTTGTCATCCAGAGGAAGTCAGTGGCACACCACATTGCATGAGTGGGTTTAAGGATTGGGGGAAGTGAGGGCTCCTCACAAGTTCTGCTACACTTTCATCAAAGTCACTTTGCTTACACTGGCTGAGTTGTTATATCCCTCCACCTCGGCATGGCAGCCCATTTCCTACTTTATTTTATGATATTCTATTTTCTCAATTTACAGTTGTCCTGTCCCTCCCTGAAAGTTCCTGAAGTTCATCCTCTATTTCCCTCTACAAGAAACAGTCTCTCCTTTGTTGTCCTGACTCTTCTCACTCACAGAGACAAATACAGAAAGCTTCAATGCTGCTGTCTTTCTCTGTGTCTAGGTCAACTGTTTTCACAAACAGTACTATAATTTATTAAGAAAATAATAACAGATCTACCATTTGATCTAGCAATCCTAGGTATATATGAAAGAATTGTAATCTGAGTATGCTAGCAGTACCTAGAATCACTTGCTAATTGAAGGACTTTTCACAACCCCCAGGTGTCCATCAGTTAATGTGTGGAGGAAGTAAATGTGTAATATTTAGAAAATAAAATATTATTTATCTAGAAAGAATGGCTTCTTGTCATTTTGGCAATGAGTATGTTACATGAGAATAAAGCAAAAGTGAGGTAAGCAATACTGAAAAAAGAGATATAACACATTATCTCCATGTGCAGAAGATAAAAACAGATCCTATAAAATGAGGGAAAGGAACAGAGGTCACTAGAGACTGAGAAAGATAGAGGAGTAGATGGACTGAAGGGGATGGCTTCCAAATACATTTAGGAATAAATAATTCTAGTGTTCCACAACATAGTGCAGTCACTAATCTTTAAAACAAAGTGTTATGTACTTCAAAGTAACAGGAAAAGGATGGTGTTCATGTTTCCAACAAACATAAATGATAAATTATCGAAGATAAGGATATGTGTTTCTATTTTTTTACTACACATGCTGTGCATGTATCAAATATTACAATATCTGTTAAACATTATTCTTCAGTTTTAAAGCTACATAATGAGACTGTAGGAATAGTTCAGAAGCAGAGCACAAGACTGGCATGCATGAGACCCTGGGTTCAAACTTCAGTATAAAAATTAAAGAAATACGTCAATGAATCCATAAACCAATAACACTGTGGCATACAGCTTCCATAGTGATTGTAAAGGTTTGTGTTCAAAACCAGTACTGCAGAAATATTTTAAAATAAAATAAATTATTCAATTAACACAATTAAATTGAAAACTTGTGTCTCTTTAAGAGATTGAGTCCACATTCTAAACAATGTTGGCAATCTAAATTCAATCATTTGTAAAATATAATCTAATATGCATCAGTACAATTTGTACAGTAATGTAAAATACATTCAGAATTCAAATGTGAAAAGTCTAATTCATATAAGAATGTGCAATGTATCATGATCATTCAAACATCCTTAACTAAGAAAATAAAAGTTTCCATAAATAAAGAACATCAAATTTATTGGGAAATTATTGAAGGCATCCACCATTTATCAGGAATGATATTAACATGTGAGATAGAATAAATTAGGGAAAGATTTTCAACCTGGCAAAGAAACAGAAATAGTATCATAAGAAAGTAATCATTTTTGATCTGTATAATCACTATTAACTAATAATAATTTGCTGAAGAATATACAATTTTAATAAGATTATTTGAACCTGGACACATGCAAGAAATGAACAAATTCGATTTGTATATAGTAGGAGGACAAAGTGAAAATAAAAGTAGAATAAGGTTGACAGCACTTGTTGCTATGATACTGATTTATTATTAGTGAGATTCCTTCTCAAAAAACAACCTGGGAATGGGGGTGTGTGCCAGTGGTCTCAGTTCCATTGGAGGTGTAATTAGAATGATCACAAGGTAAGGCCCATGACTCGCAATCATATGAGACCATATATGAAGTAATTATCTTAAACAAAAATAATCTGGTGTTGTGACTGGAGTGTTAGAGAAATTGCCTAGGAAGCACATGACTGAGTTCATACACCACTACCACAAAACAGAAAAAAATAGAAAAGAATCATATCTACTGACCTGAAGAGACCGCACTGACTCAAAATCACTGACTGTGAATGGTAGATGCTGACTGGGTAGGAACCAGAGCTTCAGGAAGAAAAGTCCATGTGAGTCTGCCCCTAACATGGGGACTGGAGCTGTGCTTGCTGTGAGCTGTTCGCCCCCTGCTGGCCCTGAGTGCACGTGCAGGGAGGTTTGTGTCTGGGCTGACACTGAAGTCCCCTCACTGTGTCTCTTGCACAGTAATACACAGCTGTGTCCTCTGTGGTCACAGAGCTCAGCTGCAGGTAGAACTGGTTCTTGGACGTGTCTCTGGTGATGGAGATGCGACTCTTGAGGGATGGGCTGTAGTAAGTGCTTCCACCAGAACTTATGTACCCCATCCACTCAAGGCTCTTCCCTGGGGGCTGGTGGATCCAGCTCCAGCCATAGCTACCACTGGTAATGGAGTAACCAGAAACTGTACAGGAGAGGGACAAGGTCTACAAGGGCTTCACCAGGCCAGGTCCTGACTCCTGCAGCTGCACCTGGGACAGGACATCTGGGGACAAGAAGAATCATTACAATCAGTTACCTGCAGTCATCAACTTCCCATGGACCCACATGTGAACTTGAGGATACTCACATTGGGGAGCTGTCACCAGGCACAGGAGAAGACCCAACCCTCTCATCTTCTGGACCACTGTACTGCTTTCCCCAGAGACCTCAGTCCTGTGTGAGCAGAGAGCTTTGAGCTCCTCCAGGCCTGGGGTGTAACTTAACCTTAGCATGAATAATAATTTGCATATGGGAAGTCCTCTAGTTATACATGGGGATAGATTGAAGCCAGGGTTACCTGAGTATGATGTGCCCTGGGAGTAATATCTGATCTAAAACTCAAGAGGTGTTTAAATTTATGATATTTGATAGCTGTTTTGAGATTATGATGGAAGCTCATCAAGGAGGATCTCACTTTTGCTGGACAGAACTTCTGTTTTCCATGGCCAGCCTAGTCCTCTCTCCACTCAGGTTTTAGTTTTCTTCATTTGAGTTGATTACAGCAGACCTCCTCTTTTTCGCAATGTTCCTTCTACTGTGGATTGAACAGAGTTGCTGTGGGTAACTGTTACATTGTCACATTCATGCTTTTATATTAGATGAAGGCTTCTGCTGCTCATTCCAGAGAAATGTCCTGAAGATTATTCTTTGAGAAATGTGTCAATGTCCTCTGTCCATCAATGTGGATTTGGTGTAGACAGTGGTGAGAGTTCTTATTATCAGATATACATGCATGAGGTGTTTGTTTCAATACCACAGTTGTTGTTCCCTAATTTACTTTTAGTAATTACATATATCTTTAAATTTATTTGATGTCAGGCATTGAAAAAGTGTCCATTTTGATCCCATCAACTTTCACACAACTGAAGAGTGACCTTCAATTCAAAATGTCTTGGGCAGTTATGATTCTCCTGTTTATGGAGAGTTTGTTCTTCTATGACATGAAGATCACTCTTGTTCTAAACTAAGATTTCTCACCACAATAATCCAGTTTACAGCTATTCCATTGCCTGGGACTTGGAAAGTGAATAATCATTTTCAAGACATTTCATTCTCAAAATGGAGGCGATTTCTGTATTTCCACAATAAATATTTGTAACTCTGAATAACATCAAGCAGTCTTGTAGACGGGGTGATAAAATCTATTGACTGGAAGACACTCCTTAACTGACTTCCTGGGAAGGATCTGTGGTGATTCCTGAGGATCCCCTGCTGATCCTTGGGGTTCCTCTCCTGCTGGTCCTGAGTTCATTTCACTAGTCCTGGGCACACCCTGCTCTTCCTGAGTGTTCTGTGAGTCCTGGACAAGTGGACCTGAGCACCCCTGCTGGTTATGAGCATCTCTGCAGGGATTATTGTGCCTGGCATCACACTGCATGCAGATCACAGTGCTTGGGCACCACTGTCATTAGCTGTCACAGTGCTCAGCTGTAAGAACACTTGATTCTTGCCTGTTTCCCTGGATTTATGACTCTGGACTGCAAGTTGAGGCTGCAGATCATTCTCCCATTACAGTTGATCACATCAGTTCACTAAAGGCCTTTCCCTGGTCACAGCTAAACTCATGATGCAGAATGTTCTGAGAGTTAGATTGTGTAGGTAATACAGGTGAAGCTGGTCCTCTGACAGGGGACCAACACTCCCTCCCTCCATTGCATGTTGTGATCCTTGGCCTGGATTCCTGGTGATAGGAAGCAATCTTCAGTCACTCAGACACATCCGCTCATTTTCACTGTCCCATTTTGAAATCCATGACTCACTCCCACTGAATGGAGACACCAGGAAGAAAAGGAGAGAGGGAGAAGCTATGTGGATGTATGCAGACTTCAAAAGACCCCGTCTACAAAATGACACTTCACACACTTCCTCTACTCATCCTGCACCTGTGGCCTATTTGCATGAGTAGGTCATATACAGGAGGTCAGAGCCTCAATGGCTGTCCTGAGGAAGGGGTCACAGATTGGATTCATCTTGCGGGAAGTGGAGTAAAGCCATGGAATGTAGAAAAATTTAGTGTGGGCTAAGCCTGGGATCTGAGGAGCTCTTCTCAGAAAGGTCTCCTTCCTATGCTTTACTGAGTTTTCTTGGGAAATAAATTTGTAAACCATGATGATCTATTGATTTTTGCAGAAGAATAAATTATAGTGAGAGTTTAAAAATGTTTTCCTCCCATTAACAACTAAGTAAAATTGTATTGTTTACAAATTATGAATAAAAAGAGACTTTCATTTCTTTGTCATCAAATTCATTCAGAAAACAAGAAATGTTCATAGTTTGACTATTGGATATTTAATTATTGAATAATTTGTCTACCTTGTTTTGATATCCCGATAGTCTGCTTTCTAATTGAGTGAGTTTAATGGAAAGTCTTGCACCTGGGCTTTTTAGTTGCTTCATCTAGTTTTTCCTTTCAGGACTACATTCATTAGTAATACAAGTGGATTTCATGAGATAATTCCTTTGGTGGGTATGGTATATTTTCAGCAAGTTCATAACCTGCATAGAATTCTATTTAACATCTTGCAAGGTCTTCCTAATTTTCTCTAGTTATTTATCTATATTCTCTGTTAACTTATTCAGATGTTTTTTAAAGCCTTCTTGAAATCATGGATTATTCTTTAATCATTCCTTGTGAAGAATTTCATCTACTTACTCTCATTAGTGTCTGTTTTTGTGCAATTGTTGATGTTTTGAAGTCTCCTTTTGCCTTAACTTCTAATAATTCCAATATGTCTGCATATTGGATATGCATATGTCGGGATATATGCATAGATTTGTGGTAGGACTTTGCAATGTTTCACACAAGTACCGTGGATATAGTTCAGTAGTCAAATATTTTCACACCATGCACAAGTCATAGAGCCCAGACACCAGCACCACAGGAGGGAGGGGGAAATCTTCCTGCAAAATGAATTGCAATTGACCTGCACAGCTCTGTGGAAAAGCAGTAGTGACCACTAACACTCTCACCATCACAACTCAAACACCCTGAGAGGAATTAAGGAACAAAAGGAGTGTGAGGAAAAGTGACAGTAGCTAGTAACTGTAGAGACAGAAAGGAAATGGGGGGAATAACATTAGCGAGAAGTACAAGAAATACAGATGAACAAGATGGAAGTATAAATGAAAATTAAATGGAAGGAGTGAAAGAAATATAGGGAATGAAGAAGATCCAGCTGATGGTAAAGTGATCAGGAGAGATAAAATTATGATAATAAATGGTAAGGGAGGGGGTGGGGGCAGTGGGGAGAAATGACCCAAGCATTGTATGCACATATGAGTAATAAAACAATTAAAACAAAAGTCCTGAAGCTGAGAAAGTAAAACCAAATCTATGACAATAAAGAAACAATTTAGAAGACTGGAATGGATAAAGAAAACCTGAGAAAGAAACTGATGTTATTGATGAAATAAGGTAAAAAACTGAAGGGAAGGAGGCAGGAGATGGGGAAGGAGGCAACTGAAAATATAATATGGAAATCTGAGTGTGGTTTCCATCAGCAGTCCCAGCACTGGGGTGTCTGGACGAAGAGTACACAAACACGTTAAATGTGAAAATCATTTCAGGGAAGTAAAAAATCAAAGAAAACAAAGAAATTATTTAAAATAGAATAAAATTCAAAAGTAAGTGAATGCATGAATGGACCACTTTGGTTTAAAATGTCTCTATAAACAATTGGACAACTGAACGAAAATTGGGGAAAATAGAAAGGTAAATTTTCTTTGAAATTGAGGTATGAAAGACTTCCAGTCTTCTAATGGTGACAATCTTGAGAGAACTTTCCTGGTTCATATGACACTGGAAATTCTAGGTCATCTATCTATATAGGGCAGACTGCACATTTAAATAAATAAAATCAACAGACAAAATCAGTAGACATTTATCCAATAATTGGATTGCAGGAATTGTAATGGAAATGAATGTCATTTGTAATAGCTGCCAAAACAAAGAATGCACAGGTGTTCATGTAAGAAAATTTGGTCTTACACCTCATTTACTTAATAGTTTTTCATTACTCAAAGGTTTGAATTTATTTTGTAGCTGCCATGACAACACAAACCTGGGGGAGGGGAAAATCTAATATTTTAATGTTATGAGTGATTGTAACATAATTAAGCCAGTCTCTAAAAGATGAATACTGTTGAAGCAACCTACACATGGTGCTAAGAATAGTGAAATTCAGAGGCAGGAATTGGATGGTCCTTCAGGGATTGTCAGATGGTGTGACATGTGTTCCTTGGTGGGCACAGAGTTCTTGTTTGGGAACAGGGAAAGAGTGCAGGTGAAGGTAGGTGATAGGGAGCCCAAACAGTCTCTATTTGATGTCAGAAAACTGCTATTTTGGTAAATTATATGATTTACACTTTATCACAATTCAAAAAATGGTACCTCATAAATGAAAATTGTAAAGAAAAATGCAAGGCCTCCAGAGAAGCTGAATTTCTTCTGAAACTAGGTGAGAATAATTTTCCCATTAGATCTCCATCCAAAGAAACTTGAGCTGTGAAGGACACCCCAATACTGCAGTGACAGTCATCTACTGCTCAGATTTCTGTGCAAGTTGAAAGCTGCAGATTAAACTGTGTCTTTTAGAGAAAGTGGTACAACATGGCTAGTGTTGTATGAAGTCCGGGTGCCACACTGGATGGGTCTCAGAGCCTGAAGAAGCCATCATCTCACCTGCTGTAGAAAAACAACATTACAGCCCATGCCAGGGAAAATCATGATAGCAATATGGGAGCCCAGGTTCTAAATGTCATTTCCAAGTGAAGCTCCTGAGTCATCTAGGAGAATCGACACTGGTAGGAGGCACTCTCTACAGACTTCAAGGATTCATTCTTCCCTTAATACCAAGGTAGCTACTGCCATGGCTTCCATATGAGGAAGCTGTGTAGTGAAGCCAGTCTGAGAAAGCTCGTCCTGTCTCAGTTACCTGAGAATTCCAAGCAGTACACAGATCACATTGTTCTTTGTGTTTCTATTACATGGTGTAACCTAGTCACTGACATTGCATAGAGTGATGGTAGTGACTGTCATGTCAGCCTCTGTCCAGAGTGTTGAAACTATTACCATTTCATTTTTCATGTTTAAATGAACTCTATAAGTCTATATTTGTTGAGGAGACACTAATAT